CTATTTTACGGGATATATATTGTATCGTGTATATATTAAATATGAGGGTAACTGGTACATTTGGTTGAGGGCGACTGGCATATTTTTAAAATCCCGATAACAGCCGTGGGGGGCAAATGGTCAACACCCATTTCGAAGGCCCCTGCAGTATTCCTTATTTTCATACCTACGACTATCAAAAATAAAAGAATTTCGATTGATTAGATTATCATTTTTTGTCGTTATTATATTATTATAATTATTATTATCAAATGGCTGTAGGTTTCTATACTGTTGGTTCATTGGAATGACAGTACAAACTTTTCAAATTAAAATATCTAATAAAACCAATAAATGAGCTAAATAAAACGCATGTTAATTTCTTTCTCTATATATGGCAAGTTATTAATTGTACCTATTAAGCGTTTTTGAGGATTTGAAAATATTATAGGTATTTCAATATTGTATAAAAATAATATCACGGAATGTAAATATCGTACTATTATCTTTCAATAAAACAAAAAAGGTATTTCTACGCTATTAAACCAGTCAGTCTATCAATAAGCGGAGACATGTCCACTATAGGTGATTTATTTTTTCCGTATATATATATATATATATAGGTACCTACCACGATACCATTTTCAATAAACTAGGTATACATATGTGGATCGATGGTTATTGACTATGGTAATAAATTGAATAATTGTTACTGTTCAACATAGTACAGACCGCCGTCAGATCGACTGTCTAGTGAATATGTGCCATGTGCAGAGTATGTTACTGAATAATGGTTTGTAAAATTATGACACTTTACGACAATTGTATATTATCATAAGCGGAAATCCGGAGAAATTACTGGTGAAATTACATCTATAGGTGTATTTATTTCAACAAGACAATTTACAAAGTTCGATATACTACACAATTTTACCATGATTAAGTACGAAAAAAAATATGTACCTACCTTAGGTACCTTTAACATTTTAGAAGTGTTCTAAACAGAAATTATTAAGTTCTTAATTTTTAATTTATTATTATTACCGATGGAGGATTTAAGGGTTCGATTAAAGTCGGCAAATCCATAAGATTGCCATTCGTCCCCGGTTTTAACAGCATGTCCCGGTGTCCCGGCCGGTCATTCATTTTGTCCCGGTTAATGGAAGCCGAGAGAAAATATATTGAATATTGCATTATTTAATAATAAATTATGGGTCGGCGAGAATAACGTGTTATGTAGAATCAGAAAGTTCCCAGAATATTTTTATTGTACACAATCATTAGAAACCGGCGATTTAAAGATAACTATTTTAGTTGTACATTTATAATTTATAATTTATGATCGTATTATATTGTCTAAATTTTATCTACATGGTTACAGGTTAATTTTTCATTCTATACGATTAGCCTTTACTAATTGAGCCATTAGGTAGTTATATAAAATATTAATTTAAGAAATGTTAACAATGTACGTTTACATAATGTATACATTTATTGACTATTGTAGCGAGCTGTGACTAATGACTATACATATATTGGTAACAAGTAACAACAAAAATATAATATATGGGTACATATATAAAAATATTATACACGCCGCATAATATAAATAATATAATAATAGATAAGCGATAGTAGGTAAGTCGTAAGTATAATATAAGTGCATATATATATCGATAATAAGTTCAGTGGTGGAACTAGGGGGGGTGAAGCAGGGGATTGATCCCCTGGCGTAAAATTTTACTGGGCGTAATTTTTCTTTGGTTTTCTATTTAGTGCTTGGTGATAGAAGATAAGAAAACATTTTTATTTCACATAATTTGATTATGATGTTTTGTGGTGATGGGCGATGTTGCCACGTTCGAAGGAATGAAAAACAAAAAATAAAGTCAATCGTAATGTTGTATGTGCCAATATTACTTTATGCTATAAATAGTTAAATGTTTCATATTATTCATAATAATAGGCCAACGAAGCAAATGAGCCGATGCAACGATTTGTAAAATTATATTTAAGGACGTAAAAAACCACGGTACGGGGACAGTGCGGGTAATCGAGCGAGGACCGTATGTAAGCGACCATCGAGATTCGTATTTTGTGTGTTTGATTATTAAAGTTACATCGATTATTTAGTGTACCGCCGAGGGACAGGTATGCGACAGTGTATTTTCAATGTTGGTCTATGATTGGGACTTGGGAGTAATTTTAATATTTTCTAGGTTCCGCCTCTGATAATAATAATCGTAGCATGTATTCGTCGAAAAATAATAGTAGTAGGTAATCAAGTCGCGGATTCTCCGTAGAGAGTATTCGTCGAATAGTAATAGTAGAGCATGGCCCTGAGAGTCGCTCGTCAATAGATATAATATTAAGACTTCGGTTTCAAATAATTATTAGTATAGCTCAGTGGCGGCTCGTGGTTATGGTACACAGGAGCATGTGGTGAACCTCCCAAAAAAATGATAAAAAAATAATTAGATTCATACCTAGACACCTAGTATAGTATAATAAAATAGTAATTACTAATTTGTACGAGCTTAATTTCGATGAAATCAAACATAAACTAGTCTAATATTTACAATAACATATTATTTTAAATTAAAATATTTCCCACGCTTTTTAAATCAGCAACCGATAAAACGCGTAGTATGGTCGGTCTTCCCGATTGCGGTTGATCGGGATACATTTTATCGGCAACCGACAAAACGCATAGTGTGATCCGGCACTAAATCCAATTTCATTAATATCTTTGTCAGTCTTGTTCGTGATTGCGCGTGTACGACGTACGTAAGACATAAGTGTCAGTGCGGTTATATTTTTTCGTTGAAATTTATTTACAAAGATGCCTAAAAATTTAAGAATAATACAACCTTATTGAAAAAAGTTCATTCCCCGGAAAAGTATCAATATTAGCTTATGTAAATTGTAAAATATAAAAAAATATATTGGTTTATTCATTTTTAAATAAAATAGCGGCTATTTATTAACTAAACTAAACTAAAAAAAAAAAAAAAGGTTATCAATATGATGTCCCGGTTTGGTGATTTTAAAATCTGGCAACCCTATAATAGGTGCCTCTTACGACATTTATAAGTTACATGTTTACCCCCATAGGGCATATAGCGTGTTAATACGTAATTTCATCGAAACCTGAAAGCCACCGATTGCAGATAATGATAAACAACCTGTGCGGATATTATAAATTATTAGTTATTCTTAGGGCAGGGGACTTGTAGCTCTAAAAAATCAATAAATATGCAAGCACGTCTTATGCACTTAAACCCCTATAGTATTCACTACAAATATGCGTTAAAATTTGTTTTCTACAAAATATGTTTTAATCCTTATCGAATAAAATCCCGCAATCCGGCTGACTGTGGTAGATGATGTCGTATGTTGTACGACATTATACTGTTAACGATTATTTTCATCTATTAATAACATTAATTACAGCAAATTATATTATTATTTTCTTATTGGCGATCATCGAGCGCTTGGAGGAAAAATGTATGTCCGCGCCCCACAGTCAAACATATATAGGTACTATTGTACAGCGTATATTATATTATATTATTATTTTGGTTTTTGTTGTTACTCTAAAGGCGGTCCCACACGACTGGTGTACTTGGCCAATGTGGCACTTGGCAAATATTGGACTGGTCGTAGGTTATATCTCCCACACAACTGGTGATCTTAACCAATGTTCAATACTAGTAGTACTTGGCAAATATTGGGCTGGTCGTTGGTCATATCTCCCACACAGATGGTATAGTATATCGAATAATATTTTCTATCCATTTTAAATCAGTTCAATATGGACAGTGCCGATGAAAAGGTTATAATTTCTGCAGCATATGTTGCTATGAGTTGTGCATATTTAAAAATATTAAAAAAAAAAAAGGAAAAAAATACAAAGAGAAGATGGTGGATGGTTTCTTTAAATAAAAGTCGCAGTAGGTAAGTTTTGATATGTTTATTATTTAAATACACAGTTCATAAAAATTAAATTAAGGATGTGAAATTTAAATTAATGTTTTGCATTATGCAATGACTAATGATTATTAATAATGTTAATTAATAATGTAACTTATAATATTTTTGTAAGATATTATTATAAACTATATTCAATCATAATTATTAATTTTTCTTAGAAAGTTACACAAATTGTTATCAGAATAACATATTAGGTATTTTCTTTTACAGTTACAGTACTTCAAATATGCTTTGCGACTTAAATAATGAACCATCAGGTAAGTTTGAAAACTTCTGCCGTATGTCGTCAAGCGATTTTGAATATATTTTAAATAAAATTGGACCAGATATCACAAAACTCGATACTAACATGAGAAAAGCTATTCCTGCTCAAGAACGATTGGCGATAACACTCAGGTTTTTGGCTTCTGGAGATAGCTTTGTCAGTTTATCCTACTTGTTTAAAGTTTCAAACCAGTGTATATCTACAATTGTTAGAGAAGTATGTGATGCTCTAATCAAGAAGTTTAAAGATGAAATAAAAGTAAGTAATAATTATTTATAATCTATATTATATTATAAAATAACCTGTAGCTTTCAGGTACAGAAGGGCATTTACATATTTTATACTGTAAAACATATAACTGTTTAAAAATATATATTATAAATATAATAATAAAAAAAAATTAAAATAATATGTTAATTCTTAGGTACTCTTATTAGCCTTTATATAATTATATATAACTAAATACATAATAATAATAATAATAGTAATTATAGTAATAACGTTAATAATACTTATAGGGTATTATAATATATTAAACAAAAGAAAATTAAATAATTATTAATACTTGTAAAAACTTTTAAAAACATAATATGTATACTTCTAGAACAGATCGAAATCTAAAAAATAATGAGTAATAAATAAAATAAAATTATAAACCTTATTAAAAAAACTTTTAGTTATAACCAAACTAAAAATTAAATATTTAGAAACATAGTTTATATTATAAAGTACGATGGAGATATAGTTCATCTGAATTGTTATGTTACGTTGTGTTATGTTGTGTGTAATCGGAATACGTAAGAGACTCAGAAGTCACATCTAAAATGGATTCTAGAGAAACTTGAGAATCAGATGTACTAGGTGAATATGTTGATTGTTTAGGAGACTCAATATTTTGTTGTAAGTAATTTGAATAAATATGAGGCTTAGAACGCACATTTAAGATCGGTTCTGAAGAAACTTGAGAAGTTGATGTTCTATGTGAATATGTTGATTGTTTAGGAGACTCAATATTTTGTTGTAAGTAATTTGAATATATTTGAGCCTCAGAACGAACATTTTCGAGTGGTTTTGAAGAAACTTGAGAAGTAGATGTACTATGTGAATATGTTGATTGTTTAGGAGACTCAATATTTTGTTGTAAGTAATTTGAATAAATATGAGGCTCAGAACGCACATTTACGATCGGTTCTGAAGAAACTTGAGAAGTAGATATACCATGTGTAGATTTTTTTTGGTTGGAATAATCGTTAAAATATAGCATTGAATCTTCAGAACTCAAAATATTTCTTAGTGAGTTATTTGACAAAGGATTAGTTGAAATATTTATTAAATTATTTTCTGAATGAACTGCAGAATTTAATATATTTATGGAACTGGTTAAATTAATTTCAGTACGAAATACTAAATTGTCAATCTCGTTCATTAGAATTATACGAGTTCTTTCATCAAATCGTCTTAATTTAGATGCAAGTAAATCTGTGTATAGGGCACAATCATCTTTAGCTGGCTTTTCTACCACCGATTTCACAATTTCAAAAGCTTCTGACATACACCTCTCAATATCATCCTCTCCATTTTTTTTTTTTTTCTTCTGGATTCTGGAGTCTTGTACGGTGTAGAAATGTCTTGAGAGTTTTCTAATAAATCTGTGTTTTCTATAATTGTGTCTATATTTGCTTCATCTGAACACTAAAAAGCCAATAATAACTCAATTATGAATAATACAAGCAATTTCTATTATAAATTATTTTATTAAAGTGTAATGATTATTAATTATTATTAATATTTATTAGTAATAATAATATTATAGGTAGGTACATAATAGGGAATAATTTACATATGTAAACATTTACATTATACCTAATTACCTAAACAGTATACACATATTATTATAGGCATAATATTTATTTAATTATTATAATTATTAATTTGTTGTTTCTAGAACTAGGTATTACCTATCTTAGGTAAATTATAGGTACTGCTCATTGGAAAAACGATTCTGAGCGAAAACAATACGTCGGCCTATAATATTATTATATAGGAAGGCATATCATAATATTTTTGTGATTAAAGCAGGGATGGAAAACGTTATTAAACGGAAAAATACAAAAAACAAAAACAATTAATAAAACAAAAAACAAAAAACAACTGAAAAACGATAACAAAAAATCCCAAAAACCGAAATTAAAAACGAAAATAAAAATAAATTATAGTATTATACATTATTAAATTATTTATACCATGAAATAAAAAAAAATTTCACTTAAGTCTTTACTTTTTAATCTTTAACAATGCACTTTTAAAATTTAAAAACATTTTAATTTGAAATCAGAAATTTTGAATTTTCTAATTTTGGTTAAAAATTTAAATAATTACTTTTAATTTTTAACTTTCAAGTGCATTTGTATATTGCGCGTTACTATTATAACTCAAAAGTTAAAAGCTATAAGTTATAAGAATATATTATATAATATATATAAAAAAAAGGTGCTCTGCTGTGCAGTAGGTTACAACTTACAAGTGGGTCACTGTATAATGGATGGTATCGTATAATATAATATAATATAATATATCATTGTATAAGAAAAACGATTCTAAGCGGGGACAATATGTCAGTGTAGGTATAAAACATATATAGACATTAGACATATTATATTATATTTATCTATGGTATTAAAAAAAATTGACCAATAATAAATTCCAAATTAATCATATTACAATATACATTAGGTACTTATTACGCGTTATACATCAACAACAAACCCTGATACTATCATAGATATAATATAATAGTGTACTTTAGAAGTTTCAAGTACCCATGAATGATATTATACAATCACAACAAAATAAACTAAAATAGTTATTCTAGGTTTTTTATTATGTAATTTGGTCCAAATTTGAACTTAAAATAATAAAATGACTATAAAAATAAACTGTGCCTATGTATTTTTTAGATTTTTTGGTGACAGAATTAACTACTTATGTGGAATCTTGTTTTAAATTTTCAATCCTTAGATATAAAAGTTGAAAATTTTATAAATTATTAATTACTAAATAATTATTCAATTTTAAATTTGATAAATTTTGTCAAAATTTGATCTTTAAATGCGTATAAAAAAAAATCGTGCCTATTTATTTTTAATATTTTCAACTGATATTGTAACAATATATTGTACACTTTTTGGCCCAACAGATAAAACTTTATTGATATTTATAAAAAAAAAAACTAAAAAAATTGAAACTGAAAATGTCCGTAAACAGCTCAAAAAGAGTCAAAATATTTTCAAAATTGTATGATGTATAGGATGACAGACACACAAAAAAAACACATCATTGTAAAATCAACACATTCATCGTTTCACTCAGAATCTAAAACAATATTATCAAAATCGTTATTTGGAAACAATAGGAAAATAACGTTTTTAAAAACGTTAATCAGAAACGTAATAATCAAAAATGTTAAACAAAACAATATTTTTAACTCAATAAATAAAAACGAAAACAAAAAAATTTAAAACGTTTTCCATCCCTAGATTAAATTAATTCATTTTAGTATTAGGCATTAGTATCTATTACAGTAGGTTAAATTAATTTTTCCAAAAAAAATAACATTTGAAAATGCCAAAAAATGTAAAAAAAAAAAATTAAAAATTAAAAAATAAACACACATCATTATAATATCAATACGTTCATTGCTATGCTTAGAAACTAAAATATGTAAAATAAAAAGTTATCTATTAAACTAATTTAATTCATTTTAAGATCCAATAAAACAAGCTACTATGGAAATACTATTTCAAGTGTTTTATTTGATTTAATGTTACCTACATTAAATATTACAAAAATATATTGTGTATTATTAAATGTTATTTATTTTGTTCCTTATACAGATGCCCTCAAGTTCAGAAGAATGGCTAGAAATTGAACAAAGTTGGAACGAAATTTGGAATTTTCCCCATTGCGTGGGTGCATTAGACGGGAAACATATAGTTCTGCAAAGTCCAATTAACAGTGGATCTGAGTACATAAATTATAAAGGTACTTTTAGTATTGTATTGATGGCGTTAGTAGACGCAAACTATTGTTTTACGTTTGCTGATATTGGTTGTCAAGGTCGTATAAGCGATGGTGGAGTTTTCCGAAACACTATTTTATACCAAAAAATCGAAGAAATTAAATTAATGCTCCCACCTAATCAACCATTACCTTCAAAAACGTTACCTATTCCATATGTAATTGTTGCTGATGATGCTTTTGCGTTGTCCCAAAATTTAATGAAACCTTATCCTGGCACATACGACAAAGGAAGCGCCGAAAGAGTATTTAACTATCGTTTGTCGCGAGCTCGTCGAGTGGTAGAAAACGTGTTTGGCATTATGTCATCCGTTTTCCGTGTGTTAAGAAAACCGTTATTAGTAGAACCGGAAAATGCAACAAATATCGTCATGACATGCGTTTTACTACATAACTTTTTAAGAAAAAGTAGGACGTCTTCCAAAATGTATTCGCCGCCCGGAGTTTTGGATTATGAAAATGCAGGAGAAATCGTCCCAGGTACATGGCGAGGTGAAATAGGGGACATTTCATCATTATTGCCAATACGTAGAGTCGCTAGGAAATCGGCGATCGAGGCAAAACATATTAGGGATGAATTCGCAAATTATTTTATAACAAATGGTAAGTTACCATGGCAGGATCAATATTGTTAAATAAAATAGTTATAAAATATATATATACCTCTGTGTTAATTGTGGTTCTTTTTTCATAGACGTCTCTTAAGAACATGTCCATCTTATTATAAGCAAACCAATTTGGTTTGAAAACATTATCTGGAGCAGTACCGGTTCGCATACTCTCTTTGACCTTTTGATGCAAAGGCCGAAATGTTGACATCAGAGATTCTTTTTTTTTTTTAAAGCTGCTATATCATATGATGCACTGAGTCCTTGTTGAATCCTCTTCCATGCATCGTTTACAAGATTTCGATTGCTATGAGATTTGTTTTTAGGATTCCATATCACACTTTCTTTTTCGTAGGCATCCAAAAATTCCATCGTCAATTCATTCGACCAATCCATTTTAATTAAATTATAATATTAAGTATTAACATTCATAACAATATTATATAGATTTGTACTGCACATACACACTTTTTGGACAACATACAAACGTATACTAAATTATTATTTCTCGGTGAGCCTAATTTTGTACATATTAATATTTAATACTATAAATAAATATACTATAGGTATTTGGATAATTTTGAAACCGGAAATATTTTGTAAATACTCCTAGAATCTAATTCTAATACTATAAATAGTTTTATAAAATATGACTATGGTCTATGGGCAAATTATACCATAGGTACTGCAGGTAAATATTATTTACAGTCAACATTTTTAAAATGTAATTAATACCCACATAACATAGGTAATATCTATGTAGGTACGTATGTATAATAATTGTATAATAATATCTATATAGGTACAATTATAATTAAGGACATATTATACATTTATTACACACATTGAAACATAAACATTATCATTATCAAATCTTCAATTCAAACGTTTTTAAAAATTTAAATATTATTCTTTATTAAATTATCGAAATATTTGATATCAAAGCCCAGTAGTTTGCCAGCCACTTGCCAAGTCATGTGGGAACTGTCACCAATGCACATCATAATGACTGGCCGTTCTTTGACTTGTGCACCATTTACCGACAATTGACGGGAAACGGCCAGTGACCAACATTTGTACCAGCTCAACTTCCCACACGGCTGGTCACTGGCCACCAGTGACCAACATTGGCCAAGTACACCAGTCGTGTGGGACCGCCTTAAAACAAATGACCGTTACATACATGCAATTTTCACTGGTTGTTTATATTTGCAATTTCTATACACGACAACATTTTCAAAATATTTTAAAACACATTAGTGGAGGCCCTCAATTTCCAGTCGTAGTGAGTTATTAATTTATTTTTAAAAACTGTTTGCAAAATATAATATAAATATTTATGAGGCGGCATTACACCAGCTTATCACGACACTGATTTTCAGAAAAGCCGAGCGGCGCATCGTTACTTATTTTTTAAGTTTGTAATTTATTTTTTAAGTAATATAAATTAGTTGCGGAACAAACATTTTTCAAATGCCACACGGTGTGGACGAGTATTTATTGCCGTGCCGAGCGTCAAAAGATGCTCCGCCTGGAACACGAATAATATATTCATAGGCGGAAATTGTTGGGGGGGCTTAAGGGGACTTAGCCCCCTCAAAACGTACAAACGGAAAAATTAGCCCCCTTAAAATAATCTAAGTAAAATATGAACTTTCAATTAATATTATTGCAACGCAAATAAAAAAAAAAATTTGGAAAAAATATCTGTGTGTTCGTATTTTAATTCCATTACCAAAGCCCATACCGAAATAAAATTTAAAGTAGATAAATCACAGCCAGTTTAATCTAGTGTTATGGTTCCACCACTGAATATTATTATAATATATTATTATGTTATTATGTAATTGTCAATTTAAAGAAAAGG